TGGTTGACATTTACATTAGTCTAGATTTCAGTCATTACTGGTAGGGTTGGGGCATGATTAAAAGTCTAATCTGTTTTTAATGCTCAGTTATTCAAACTTGAATCTTTCATCCCATTTTGCTCACTAATGACTAAACCAGGCCCAAAAAAAGTACCCCATCATGTCTCTTTAAGGTGCAATTCATATTATCATTTGATTTATTTAAGGTGCAATTCATTTTTTTATTAATTAAATACGTTTTGTGGAAAAAAAATCCAAGAAAGACACCTTAGCAAAATTTTAGAACCCATATGCTTTGTTATTAATTATTTTAATAAAAAATAAATACTAGTAATAGTTTATTTATTAATCACAGCATTTTACATTTTAGTGTAGTAAAAGAAATAATTATTTTGTGGGGGGCTTTAAAATCTTGTGGACAGTTTTTTGTCGATGATTTTTTATTTTTATTTATTTAAAGTTCTGGAGTGCCACGTGTCATAAGTATGGGGTCAAAAGGAAACTAGTTTAGTTTTCTCCAGGACCACATATGAAGGGACGATTTTTGTTCCCACTTCTGTTTTGGAATTTCCAGACCAGACTGCTCTTTTTGTTTTTTGGCTTTTTCTTAGGTTTTAACTTCAATTTTTTTTTTCCTCCTTCGGCCTGCGTGCCACCCTAACCCCTAGCACAGCACTTAAATACCCATAAAGCCCCTGCCTTTCACAATAATTTACCCAAAAGTGTGTACAGGTACCAAATAGTAGAGAAGCCAAGGCCTGAACAACCCCATCAATGAGAATGAAATCAGAATCACTGCTCAAGGTGTTATTAGGAACTACATTTCTTATGTCATTTCTGTCCTGCAGCTATTACCCCAAAAAAGTCTCTCTTCCCCTTTTTTTTTGGTTAGCTATTTTTTCTTAATATTTTATATGGGGTTTTGATATTATGGGCATTATTTATGGAATAAAAGAGTAATTTTTTCATTTCAGGTCTGTCTCTTTTGATTGTAAGTCCCTGGCAAAAAAGAATCAATGATATTGTATAATGCAAGGAAGACCCAAGTTTTTAACTTAAGGTACATTTAAGTTAGCTGTGTAGCCTTTTTTTTATTTTTGTCAATTTGGGAAGTTTGATTGTTGGTAGAGTCTTTGTTAAAATTCGTGTTGGAGGGGTGATGTCTAATCCATGGTTCACAGCTTCCTGAATAAGTTTATTTATGCCTACGTTTTACTAGTTGTAAACAAGAGCTGTCGGATAGGTGTAGTTAGATGCAAAGTGGAGTATTACTGCATTTTCCATGATTCTTTTAGTATTTAGATGCTCCTAATCTTGGCAGGCTTCCTTGTTGGATTGCATCAGCAGTTTTTGTTTCCCCATTGTTTGAGGATAATAAAATCAAACTCCAGTAATAGGAACCATGTGCTTCATGGAACTGGTAATGAAGATAATGAAAAATAGAAACACAAACTGAAGCCAATAAGAAAGCAAAACTGAGTGTAAAGGAAGAGTAGGGATGGGAAGAGCAAACCTTCCAAAGTGCTTCTACCACTACATCCTTGTGATATTTTCTTATTAAGTTACATAGAAGACTTAAAGGAGTCTAGTAACAAGTTTGTAAATGGTATATTGATTCTATTGCCCTGTTTTTATTTTCTTTTTCATAACTGGTCATATGCTGGTCATTCACCTTGCTGCTGATTTTTTTTTTCCTTTGGATTGTTGATAAAGAAGTTTATGTCTTGCAATGTGCACTTTTGGGGGGATGTAGATCTTTCATTTTTTTCAACTTTCGAAGCTTTTTCCTTTTTCAGGAGAAACAGGTAGGGGAGATTGTTCTAAAGGCAATGGGACAGGCAATAAGCAAAACGGTGGCCATTGCAGAGATCATAAAGGTCAGAAGATTGCATTCCTTTTCCAGTTCGCATTTAGAAAATTGAAATGGACAATCATGCTGACCATCATCTTATGATTTTCCGAACAGAAGAGAATCCCTCGGCTGCATCAGGAAACTTCCATAAGTTCAATGAGCATAACTGATATGTTGGAGCCGATGGAAGAAGGGCTTGTTCCGTATGACTTCAGATATGCTTATGTTTTGTCCTCGTAATTCATCTTTCTTGAAGTGCATTTATAATTCTTGTTTAAAATGGTTTGTGCAGGTTGGAGATGACTCACCAAGTGTCCCTTATTTCAATTTCTCTGTCAAGCAAAGAGCTAAACAAATCATTTCCTGGGTATTTAGGTTTTCCACTTCTTTTTCTTTATGGCCAAATATATTGCCAGCATCATACCTCTATGTTAAGATCTAACATTGTTGGAAAATGTTTTATTTCCAGGTAGCAAGCTCCATCTCATGACCAGCTGAACCAATATCAGTCTTAGCAACAGCAAAAGCAAATGCATGTGCCCGTAACTGAGTTATTGAAGGTGATGAATTTAGCATTTTCTTCCTCTTTCTTTCTTTTTGAATAATAATAACAACAATTAAATGTGAAGATCCTAAACTGTGTTTTATAATTTTTTGTGATGATGGCTTTGATTGCAATCCATATTTTGTTTATGTATGTTAACATGAAGCTCTAATAAATTGAATTCTTACTCTCTTTAGAGCAACCTATTTGCAATTGCTTTTGTTTATTTAAATTCTCAATGCATTCACCATCCAGATTCATATGGACGAGTACGAATTCATGGTAGAGGGAGAGGACAGGGATGGGGCAGGACCGGTTACAGGAACTATCCAGGTATAAGTTCCATTGATGCCAGCCTTGGTGTTTACTATTGCAACATTGCTTGATTGTGCTGCTTGATCACTAAACTAGTTTGCTGGCAGAGAATGGTGGTTATTGGAATCAGGGGCGAGGAGGTGGACGAGGCAGAGGTTGGGGTTATCGTGGTAAGTTGGCTTTGCATATAGGAGAACCACATGCCTCGCTTTCTATTTTTGTACAGCGTACGTGCTTGCGCTATTATCTTGCTTAAGTATCATTCTTCCCGTTTGATAAATCATATTTTTTTTCAATAGAACTAGAAAAGAGCACTAAGTTTGACCTATTCCTCAACATAAACGGAGCTAGGTGGCTATTTGCTTTATCATTAGATTTTTTTTTTGTCATATATCTCATCATAGCGAACATATATTGCAATCTGGTTGTGGTCCACATGTTGGCCAACTAGCACCTTATCCCAAATGTTTGCAGTTAGTGGCATGATGCCTACCTACATTAAAATTTTAAGCTGATAACAGTTTCCCAAAGGACTGAGGCGTGTCATGTTTCGTGATTTATATTGGATCTGAGAATGCATGCTTTTCCATCCAATGATGAATGTTTTCATTTTTATTGCTTACAACAATTTTTGTTATCTACAGGTGGGTATGGAAGAGGCAGGGGTGGAGGGCAAAGCAATGGTCGTGGATGAGGATGGGGCAGTGGCCGTGGACATGGTCGTGGACAGCAAGCTTAATAGTGGGATTGTACTAATGGTTAGCTCTTTAGCTGGACGGCCTACAGTTGTTGGGAGGAAATTCTTGTTGGCTGTTAGAAGCATCAAAACATTTACATCTTCCTCGTATCAGTTTATTTTTCTATATGATATGGATTTAGGAAGTCATTAGCATTTTCTCGGTTGCTTCTGTCCTGTTAAGGGCTGTTAGTGGGGTTTTAATATGCTGTAATCTGTTGCCTCTGCCACTCTTCGTAGTTATAGTCTATTTTTAAATTTATATATGCCTTTTGAAATCTCTATCCCTCTCTCTTCTGTGGAGTGATTGTGTCCAAAGCCAATAAATACAAGATTGAAGCCATGTGCTCGTTGATAAAGCAGGGTTTGGTTAACAGCCTTTGCAAGTTGCAATCTATCACAACAAGACACGTTTCCTCACGCTTTTGATATGATACCCCTTCAGATTAACAAGGGGCCAGGAATGAAAGGCAAACATTACCCCTTGTTTCTGTAGAAATAGACGCTTCAGCTGGAGCTAAAAAGGAGGAAATGTATATACTTGCTTCGAGCTTGTGATGCTTCATTTTCAGTTATTTATCTCATCAAACATAGCAAGATGCATACTAGAGTGATGTGACCAAACAATGTAATCAACTAAATCGACATCGAAGAAACTTCTTTTTCCATTAGTAATGTATTCAAGGTGGCTTAAAGGTGGGTTATTTTTCTTTGGTAAACCAGCAAGTGTATTTGGACCCTGATAGTGTACATGGTGATGGATTCGTGAGGAATCGAGATTACCACTCGTAACCCACCAACCAAAAGCAAAAGTAGGCAAGACCCACACCATGGCAGCTACTGTGGAGCAAACCAATGGCGCAGGCTTGCTCTATCATACTTTGAAAAATTAGGACCTTCTTCTCATCCGTAATTTCTGTCTTTGAAGTCAAAGCAAATAAAATGTGAAAGCGTTTGGTTTTTTTTATAACATTGTGGCCTGAAAAAGCAAAACAGACCAAAGTTTATAAGAAAATGACGTGGAATTAATCTGAGTTAGGTGAGTTCCTTAGGAAGGAAGGACATTCTTTAAGAAGCTGTGCATGCGTGAATATCGATTGAAAGCTAGCAACCTGAACCAAACACAAGGAAAGTGAGGGGCTATCGTTGACTACAAATAATATTATATGCATTTATGTTCGATAATACCAACCATGGTTACAAAATTTAAAACTTGACTTACTTTTCCAAAATACGTTATAATATATGGAAAAGATTCTACTAACATTGCCTCCTCAATCAAATTGTTTACGTAAATGAAGACCCAATTAATGAATTAATGATCCACAGCCCAAATTTTTAATCTACATCCATATTTTGCCATTTAAGAAGTTCATTATATATAAATTCATGGTAATCTTAGCGATTAATTAAACTATTAAAGTACTAAGAGACAATTGAAATCTTTAATAAAAAACAACTAATCTCAATGTAAATATCAACCGAAAGTTTGTCTTATCCAATGAAAAAAAAGTAGTTATTTAACACTAGAAATAATAAAAAAAGAGAAACGTACAGATGGGGGGCAAAACCGTCTTTACGAAACCAAAAAGAAGAGGAAAAGAAAAAGATGTGGCACGTCCGAGAAATAGATAGCTGCCAAGTGTCGGGAACCCAAACGTGGCAAAGCAAATCTCGTCAACAATGTGACAGCAAATCCCGAAACCACGATGAACCTGGACAAAGCGACGTCCAAGTTCATCTCAATCTCCCCAATCTCCAGCGTACACTGGTCAGCTGCGTCTCTCTTTTCCTCTTCCGTTCTGCCATAGAAAAAAAACTCCTTCAAAGCTCCAACAGTCTTTCCTCTCTCTCCTTTTTCTTTCTGGTTTTCCTAAAAAGTTGAAATTAGAAGAAAAAAATGAAAGAGAGAAAAGAGATAGAGAAACAGCTGCCACAGTCTCCTCCTCCTTATCATGTTCTTCACAAGCTTCCTCCCGGGGACAGCCCTTACGTTCGAGCCAAACATGCTCAGGTATATATCTACGTATATCTATACGTCTGCATGCCGTACGCCATTGAGTTTGATGGGTGCATGTAATTTGGTTATCATCTGGGGCTTCTCTAATGCAGTTAAAAGCTAGGTTTGTGTTTTTTTTTTTTTTGTTATTGGGTTTTTTGGGTGTTCATCCTGGACCTCTTCGGTTACAATTTTTGTTTTCTTTAGGTTTTCAATAATTACTGAAAAGCCCTTGAATGAGAGAGTAATTTACTAAGCAGGGGTTTTGTTAAATTCTGTCATAATTATCTCTCATTTTAATCTATTAATGTGTGTGTGTATATATGTTCGAAACATTTTCAGTTTTTGTTGTTCATGAATTGCTGTTATTGCAGTATGTCCTGTTTTTCCAGTTCAAGGTATTTGAGGAATTTCCTGCTAGAAAAGGTGCAAATTAATGAGAATAGAGTGAAGGACAAAACAGTAAAAGACCACCCTTTTTGGGTCCTTTTTGCAGCTCTATATTTGAATGCCTGGTTCATTGGGTAAAAAAACGATTTTTTATTAACACTAATTGCTAGTTATTAGTGAAGTTTCATTTATCTATTTCTTCCAGTTAATTCAATTTAATTAGGCATAGATTGTACTGATGATTGCTGTGTAGTTGGGTAAGGTGCTAAATTCTCAAATCATTGTATACATATTAGGAAAATTAATGTTATATATGTGTGTGTGCGTGCCTGCTGTGCAAGTCTCTAAAGCTTTTTTATACTAAGGTTAGGCAGTGATTTTTTTTCTTTTCCATCCGGCCATCCTCCCCATGCATTGCAGTTAGTAGATAAGGATCCAGATGCGGCGATAGTTTTGTTTTGGAAGGCGATAAATGCGGGAGATAGAATAGACAGTGCACTTAAAGACATGGCAGTGGTTATGAAGCAGCAGGATAGAGCTGAAGAAGCTATTGAAGCAATAAAGTCTTTTAGGGACCGCTGCTCCAAGCATGCTCAGGAATCACTGGACAATGTCCTCATTGACTTGTACAAGGTAATGCAAATTGAACCAGGAGGCTGTGCTTGTTGTATGCTTTCAAGTAAGTTAATTGTAGTGTGGGCAGTATTTATATATAATAATAGCGCTATTTAGAGAAGCTCATTATAGAATTTCAACCAATGATCCCCTGGCTTTGAGTTGAAGTAATTGTTGATATTTAAGCATTTTTCTATCTAATTATTAAGGAGCAGCCAACCTGGCTAAATACTTTTAAGGTGATAGGACAGGCACTAATTATAGGTTTTGATCATGACATCTGCTCTTATATATGCACAATGAGTCAGAAGACACTAGAGCAAAATTGCATGAAAATCAATCAAGTTAAAAGCTTAAAAGTGAGAGGTGGGGCCTAAAGGCCAAACTAGTCATGTTACCCTCTCAAGCAGATATTTGAATGAGCTAAACACTCTGGAGTAAGGGAATTCCAGGTCAGAAATCCTGAAACAAATTTTTTGCAAGCTCTGTTTCTGTGAAGAAGAACTGTAATAACCACTTCATTGTGTGGTTTGATTAAGTCTTTATCTCATCAAAAATCAAGAAAAGGTTTTGGTAAATTCGCAGCTTTTCCAGATTTAGGGAACTTCTTCCTGCTTTCATCGTCTTTTTATATACTATTATAAAGTCTTCATACTAACCTGCAATAGATTTAGCAGAAATGTGGGAGAATTGACCAGCAGATACAACTACTTAAGCAAAAGCTTAGAATGATTTACGAAGGTGAGGCCTTCAATGGGAAGCCTACCAAGACAGCACGGTCCCATGGCAAGAAGTTCCAAGTCACCATCAAGCAGGAGATCTCTAGAATACTGGTAATCAAATTTTTCTAGTCAGTTATTTGTCAAATGCTGCATTTGTTACCTCTTCAGCATACTTGGGATTGCAAATAACAAAATTCAATTCATAACTTTTTGCAAAATTGTTTTTAATTTCTTCTGCTATCTAATTGCTCTCAATTCATCACTATATGTTTACTGTTAGTGTTTTTCAGTAACATGCAATACAACTTTATGTTTAGGCTTGAAATAGGAAGATTTTCCTACTGAATAAGTACTAAGTCCACTAATTTGTTTGATTGTTTTCCCCCCTTTCTTTGATCTTTTTCAGTTAGCAATTAAGATCACATCGCTTGCATATAGTTGCTAAGAGATTTGCATTTTTTTTTCCTTCTTTTTGGGTTGACCGTGTTGATTTTGAAAGTTTTATGGACAAATGTGTAATACAGGGAAACTTGGGGTGGGCCTACATGCAGCAAGAAACTTATTTAGCAGCAGAAGCAGTCTATCGTAAAGCTCAGATAATAGACCCTGATGCCAACAAGGCTTGCAACCTTTGCCAGTGTCTGATCAAACAAGCACGTTACTTGGAAGCAGAATCCGTTCTTGAGGATGTAGTACAGGATAAACTCCCAGGATCCAGTGATCCAAAAACAAGAAACCGTGTGAGGGAGCTGCGACCGGAACTCGAGTCACGACAGCCCATGGCATTAGCTTCAACTGCAATAGGGTTAAATTTAGAAGATGCTTTCCTGGAAGGACTTGACCAGTTGATGAGCCAATGGGCTCCATACAGATCAAGGAGGCTTCCTATCTTCGAAGAAATCTCTTCGTTCAGAGATCAGTTGGCTTGTTGAGTTTTTTTTGTTGGTTTATACTTCATCTGGATTTTGTCAGTTTGGAAAGTTAGTGCTTGTGGAAAGCGAGTATGTTAGAGACAGTAACCAACTTCAGGAGTGCCTTTGTAACAATGAGCAATTAAAGGAACTGTATATACATATTTCTTCACACACACATATATATATATATATATATATTCCCTATAAAGGGACGCCACGTTTGGCCTAGTTGAATTTGGAAGAGGAACTGCTAAAGCAAAGGCCTATATAACAAGATTTTTACTGGGAACTGTTGCTTTAATTGCTGGATTAGCTTGACAACTGTTATACGACAAGATGATGCTCTCAAGCCTGAAGTTGTTAAGAAGGAAATTTAGGGATCTAGATCAGTTTGCCAGTCATCGGAGGAGCTGTAAAGTGTCAGTTACTTGGAAGAGCGTTGTGCACGTGAATAGTGATGATAAATATAAAGGAAAAGTGATGAAAACAAGCAAAACCCGTTACTCACGAGCAGACAGAATATCTAGTATAAATTAAAAACAAATGCTTCAGTTAATCCTTTCACTATATATATGACCCTTGACAATGTTTTCCTCTTAACTTTCCCCATCATTGCAATGGAGATCTGGTCCTGGAGAACCAAAACTTGTACATCTTACTGTGGAAATCAATTATCATAATCAAATCACTAGGCTCTCTCCATAACTGATTTATGTAATGAAAATTACACTAGTACAAAAGCTACTAACAGAAACATAACTAACATTTATCCACAGATGATGAGATGTATCTTGTACCAGGATCTCATCCCGGTGATATCTCTACCAACGATTTCCTCAGAATTTGGAACATAGACTTCAAATTTTAGTAAGTATATACAACATTGAATGGAGATTATTTTGATAGCGGCTAACTTTGAGACAGCTTTATGAATGCATCAATTCCCCCACCCAGTGAGCTACCATTGTCTTATCTCTCTAAAAGTACTTGATCGAATGCCTGCATCAGGCATTATGCAAATGTAAAAAAGCTTCCACTTTTGCAATTTTCTTTCCTATTCCCCCTTTTGAAGGGTGAACAGAAATTAAAACTATTATATGACAAAGGCAATGAAGTGCAAGACTGATCAGCTTCTCTAAACATCTCACCTTGATTTATTTGTACTCTTCACTATAGATCGCCTCAAAGTACTTAGATAAACACGTCTTGTACTTTTCCCACAAACCACTCCAATGAAGACTGTGTCCCCCGCACCCTTAAGTTAGAGGATAGCTGCCAGCAACATTTCAATATATGCTCCATAACAAGGCAATTCAAATCATAGCCTAACATTTACAAATGGGACAAAAATGATTCAGGGAGAGAACTACCTGTAATGTTGAAAAATGTACCTTTACATAAATGTGTATACAACAATTATTGCAAACAGCCCAACAAAAGTTGGCCAGAACTAGATATTAGCAGCATTGCTTTTAGCACAGAAACAACAAGAGTAATTTAGGCTTATAATCAATGGTGACTGCCCAGGAAAACAGGTTAAAGGTTCAAATGAGCCAAAAGAAAGCAAGGCCGGTTGCTGTTTCAGGTTAAGCCTCTTCCTGTCAATAAAAACTTTGACTGAATGTCTGAAAGAAGAATATTGATTGCTAATAGATAAATCATGTGATGGGACCACAAATTGATGAATAGATGGATATGATCGGGTTGTAAGGTTGTCTTTAGGATAGATAGCAGCAGGGTTGAGATGCAGGTCACTTTCATTTTGGAAAGTAAAACACTAAGATATGAGTAAAGATAAAAGAGGAAAGTGTATAGTCCATTATTGGACTTCTGCTTTTCCAAGAAATCACACTTAGGGTTTGCTATGTATAAAAACTGACAAATTATATTCCCTTTAACAGCCTTATACCACTACACATGCACACTTATGCCAAAATAAACATATGATAAATTGTGATTCAACCTCTTAGTGAGAAAAACTGAATAACAAACCTGAAAGACTTTGCAGCATCGATGATATCGCCTAGGTAAACATCATTTGGGAACATCTGGACAACATGAGCAAGCATTTGATAACAATTGAAGAATCAAAAGACACGTAGAACCGATATGGTTCTTCTTTTGCAAGCAAGTACTGGTTTTTCAATGCCTGTTTAACTGGTGCCAAAAAAAAAGAATTGACATTGAAATAATGAATAATCAACGAACCATCACCCATAAAAAGAAATATATTATAGTAACTTTTGTGAAAATTTTAATTTTTTTTTTTAGTTTAATTGTATCAAATGAGAAGGAAAGTGAAGAACTGTAACACCGATGCAAACACTGAAACAAGCAAACACATAGTTACTTAACACAATAACCTCTTGAACCCAGAATTCAATTTCAAACTAACAAAAAAGAATTACAAATTATATAACACAAAGCAATTTATTTTAACAAAATTAACCAAAAAAAATCTAAAAGCTTAAAGAAAATGTTCATTGCCTAAAAAACCCACATCAGAATATTC